TTTTTTACTTTTTTTTTATTATCAGGTTTGCCAAAATACCACTAAGGTTATGGAACTAATAAACTAAATCCTATGCTCATGTGACTCAATTGCCTCTAGTCTGAAGATAAGTCTGACTTAAAGATTCAAATATATGAAGTGTTTGTACAGTAGATGTGAAATGAGTATATCTAAGTATTAAATCATGAGCAAGTGTTATCCATCTGCTAAGTATATTAATGTACTGCATCATGTATACTGTACATTAATGTGCTTATATTAAATTTAAAGTGACAGAAGGCAATCAATTTGGATATTTGAAAGTGAAAGGCTTTTCCAGCTTTTTTTTTTCCCCAAAACAGTGAAGTAAGTTGTTTTCTGGGTTTTTTTGGTGATTCTGTGCTATCTCGGCAGATATTATGAGCAGCTCAACGAGAAATACCATACTACCTAATCTGCCAGAGAGCTGAGAAGTGAGGCAAGTCACAGAAGTGCTGGACTCTGGTTCTACCTTGCACTTTACCCATATAAGCATACAAAATTTGAGTAAAATCTCATATAGGGTGCAAGATGCACTCTAATTCAAAGGCTGAACTGAGCCGGAGTGAAAGGAATGGAGGGACCAGTAGAATGCAGATACAATTCAAGTTCACATATAATGCGTAATATATAAGCTCCATTTGAAAGCAGGAACATTTGGAATAGAAAGTTTTAACTCTATCTTGGACCATGCATGACCATTATTAACCGTTCAAGCTTTTCTCCTGGTGTGTGTCACCTCAGTTCCAACACAGAGTCCTAGACTCCAATTTCTACTTGCATTTATTCTCTGCCTTCTGCCTTTCTTGACCATGTATGCAAAATACTTTACAAACTGAATGGGTCTTGTCGTTTCAGCAGATGAGTGCTTATTTTTCACTGATCTGTTTTTGCGTAATTCTAATCGCAAGTTTATGCTGTATCTGGTAAAGAAATCCAGTAGTGGATTGTGGGTTGGTCAGCCAGAATACGGCATGCTGTAGACATAAAAATATGGAAAGAACTCCAGACACTAGTCCTGTCTGGTGGAAAATTGTTATCTGCAAACACCATCCACATCTTCAAACACAGAGCCATGAAATGCAAACAGTAGCATCTTGTGTCAATACCTTTGGCCTGGTCATGCATGAGATCTGCTGAAACGTGGCGTTTAGAGATTTGAATCTTCAAAGTGAGAGCACTCCCCTCCTGGTGGGAAGTGTGGCCGCCTTGGGTCTGCCTGCACGAGCACTTCAGCAGACCTTATTTAAAATTCTTCTCCTTTTTTGCTACTGTTTGAGTTGGAGAGCTGCAGACCTGCCATTTCTTATACTCCACCTGCACGTGTTAATGGCCAGATCAATATATCTGGGGTACGGTTCTTATTTCAAGCTGCTTTATTCTAGCTACCAGATACAAAACAGGCTTTTTAAGCTTTTTAAGTGTTTTGTAACCTAACTTGCATGGTATATCACCTTAAGTGTGACCAGCAATATCCGACATACAGTGCCTGACTGCAAGCAGTTAAATGACTCCTTGCCCATGAGAACAGCCATCTGGTTTACTCCTGGAGTAGGAGTTTGACTCCTTAGACCAAGTTACTCTCTCTAATTCAAAACCTATAAATCTTCACCAATAAAAAATCTAAAAAATAGTGGCTTTTTTTAAGAGAGAGGAAGAAAAAACCCCAACCCCAAACCAGTTCTTTCATTGCATGGATAGCATTCTCAAAAGTGCTACAGCAGCCTGGTTTCAATCTTAGCTATGATCCCAAGTAGATGCCTTCTTGACTTTGGCATCATCATGGCTGCGAAATAAGAAGCAGGCTCACTGGCACTGAACGTACGCATGTCCTGGATTCGCTCTGCCTCCTGCTTGTGGAAAGCCAGCAAAAGCAGCAAGGCTGAGTCTTGAATGTTTTTTCTCCAGTTTATTGTGTTTAGATGGGGTAAGCGTATTGCAAAGCTGCTGGTTGTCCACTTGATGGTATCAAGTAACTGAACACGGGAGGGTACAGCTGCTTAATGCTCTCTATTCGGGCAGACGTGACCAGATAATTTTATAACAGGTAAACCAGCTATGTTATGTTGTTCACCTACATGAACAACTCCTGTGCCAGATTTAATCAAACTGTGCTTAATTTAGCTTGCTGCTCAGGTTCTGTAGTCCAGACTAGTTTGCTCTGGACCAGCCTTGCTGTGAGGTGGATAAATATGCCTCCATCAGGAAAATCACCATGTTTTTTCTGTAAGAAGAGGACACTGCTAATTTGCACCTTCAAAGACTCTCTGGTATCTATTTCTATGTGAAAACACAGCAGAAAAAAAGCTATTAGAAATAATTTATTCTCAAATTCTGTCCTTTATCAAATAATTTCCAAGCATTTTAACAAATTTTTAGATGACTTCTTTCCAAGAACCAAGCTTTGGCAAAAAGAAAAACATAACTTTAAGCTGGAGCAAGGAGGAAGGCTTGGCACTGGTCTTTCTCCTCTCACTCTTCTTCATCGTGTTTCCCTTTGTCTGAGGATATATGTGAGCAGACACACACGCACAAGGAGTGGATGAGCCTCGTCACTTTTGAGAGGTGAGACAAGGCAGGGCTAACATTTCTCCCGAGTGTGTAGAGGTGTAGCTACCCATTGTGGAACAAAGCACGAAAACAATTTCTTGGATATTTTAAAGTTGTTCTTGCCTGGTTTGGGCTTTGATTCTAGTACAGCAGAGTTTTCTATTTGTCCCAGACAGAAAAATAAAGCTTTCTCATCACACCTTTTCAGAATAAGAAACATCTACCATGAGATTTGTTATCCAATAGGAAAGTGGCTTTGCACTGTGTCCTGCAGAAACATGGTGATCTGGCTTATCTGGCGAGCTTTACGACGGCAGCTATGGGTAAATCTAATGCAACAAGGGACTTTCTGTCTCAGGCTATTTAATTTCTGATGTGGAATATGCCTTGTCCAAAATGAACGGGCGGCATGACGCTGGGAGAGAAAGATGCTTGGACAGAAAGACTGCATCTTTCGGCCAAGCAAAACATGGAGCCGAGTCACACTGATGTATGGGTACACGGTTGTCTGTGCCCCGTATGGGGCACTGAAGCAGCCGGAGGACGTCCCTATCTGCACTGACATAGGAAGAGCTGATCTCGGGGGGAAATTTCACCCCGGCCTAGATGAGGCAGCACCCACTCGAGTACCGCACAGGCAGCAGCGGGGTGCGGGCAGCCGTCCTGCCCCCAGCGTCGCCTCAGTAACCCCCCTGCATAAAGTGATAATCATATCCTGAGGGTTTGCAGCTTTGCTTTGCTGGATGTCACCCCGAGCAGGGGTGAGTAATAGCGCTGGCTACTAACAGCAGGGGGTCATGTTAAGCGCTGGAGCTGGCGCCGATGGCTCCCGGCGCCTCGCGGGCCGCCAGCCGCTCCGAGGCGGCCTGGGTGCTGCTCATACCACGCTCAGGGAGCTCACGGTATGCACCAAATAAGAGCATGCGGGTACTACTTGTTTTCTTCTGTCAGATTATTCATTCCGAATACCATTTCGCCTTCTTATTGCCGACAGATAGTCTGTGAGCGAGTCCTTGTTTTGAAAAGAGCGGTTGTTACTCACAAGTCCTGATCATAAGGTGTGTGCCGCTTGGGGGAATTTGTTTGCAAACTGTCCCTTGCAACTATTAACTGTTTATTGCGAAGAAATTATCACCTAGGGCTACGTAGTCGTGAGTTCTTCTCCCTGACTGGAGTCCAAGAAATTTTTTTTTAGAAAGGAGAAAGACAAATGACGAAGACTAAATGACTAGCTGTGAACTTCTGGTACGCTTTATTCAAAGTCTAAGTAATTACACTGAAACCCACAAAGCTTTTTGGATCCATGTCTTCATGGCAGTTGTGATTGCTGGAATACTTGGGAAACAATAGGTAATAAAACTGCACAAATATGACTCCATAAGGAAACTTGATTCCTAGTACAAACCAGCACTCTCAAGTCTTTATCTGAGAAGTGCTATAGTCGGACAAGTCTCTTTTCCATCCCACACGTCTTTATATCTTGTGAGTAGTCAGCATTCACGTGAGTAAATGCCAGCCGGGGTGAGCTACGTGTTCCTTCAGAGCCCGGTCCTGCTTGGAGAAGTTTCTCTGGTTCGCGAAGTTCGCTGGGCACCAGAAACGTCACGCCAAGTTGCTGCCCAGGAGACGCGCTGCGGTGGTGCCAAGATGAGAACCCAACCGCAAGAGGGAAACGCGCCATTTGGAAGAGAAGAGGCAGAGGGGAGAGGAAGAGGAACCCACCAGCTTTCCCCCAGGCCACGCAGTGCCGCCCCTCGGGTGTCGATGCTTCCTCCCCGCTCGTACAAACCGGGACCACCGAAAACGGTACCGACCGCCCCCCCCCCCCAATCTGTTAGTCTAATGCCCCGCGCATACGTTATGCAAAGAGAGCGCCCAGCCCGCGCCTCCCCCGCCTAGGTGAATAAATTATGCTAATGAGGGCGGGGAGGCGGGCCGGCGGCGGCTCCGCGGCGCGGCTGACAGCGGGGCAGC